TGCATCACAGTAATGATAATAACTTTACTACAGTCATAGGTAGTGTGGTCACCTGACTATACCAGCTAACCGGCCGGTCTGAATGAAGCCAGACTTTCAGCATTTCTTCACGTATCTTCTTGGAGGCCTTTTTCCTTTGCTAAGATCTCACTGATCTTCGTAGAACATATAGAGCACACAGTTTATGTCTGTTTTCTGACATTGCATTGTTTTAATTGCTGTACAGTAGGGCTGCACGATTAATCGCATGTGATATTTAACGCGCATGTGAAAGCACGCAGGTGATGGAGATTTACCGCTGATTACAGAACCGGCTTTCTGACAAGATGCGCGTTAAATATCGCATGCGATTTATCATGCAGCCCTACTGTACAGTAATGAACTCCACAGTACTCCCTCAGACAGATGTCAGTGCAGTTGTTAGCTGGCGAAACTGCGGGGAAAACTTTCCCTGGTGACAGAACATTTTTCCAAGCTGTACCCTGATGGAATAGTTTCCTGGTTCCAGATCAGAAAGCATTCAGTTTTTCTGTGGTTCAGGAATGGGCTCCAGCACCAGAAAGGAGCACATGCATATTTGGATTTATTTTGATTGCTTTCAGTCTGCAGTCTGTTGAGGAGTAGGTAAGGTAAATTATCTACCGTGTCGTGTTTCTCAGGCTGGTAAACATGAAGCGATCGTCAAGAACGTCCACGATCTGTTGGCCAAGCTAGCATGGGATTTTTCCCCGGAGCAGCTCGATCACCTGTTCGACTGCTTCAAGGTGAGCGGCTGCTGTCGGGACACTTTTGTTGTGCAGTGTTGTTGAGAGAGGATGCTGTGATAACCGGCTTGATTCTCGTCTCTGTGTGCAGTCAAGTTGGACGAACGCTGGTAAGAAGCAGCGGGAGAAGCTTCTGGAGTTGATCCGCAGGCTGGCAGAGGACGATAAGGACGGAGTGATGGCTCACAAAGTGCTCAACCTGCTGTGGAACCTGGCACACAGTGATGACGTCCCCGTCGACATCATGGACCAGGCTTTGAGCGCTCACATGAAGATCCTGGACTACAGCTGCTCGCAGGTCTGACCTTGAGTTTACATGCAACATCTCTTCCCATCATGCACCTGTGTGCCGCCACTCACCGTTCGGTTTCCTTTCGCCGTCTCACAGGACCGCGACACGCAGAAGATGCAGTGGATCGACCGCTTCATCGAGGAGCTCCGGACGAATGATAAGTGGGTGATTCCAGCTCTGAAGCAGATCAGGGAGATCTGCAGCTTGTTTGGAGAAGCTCCTCAGAACCTCAGGTGAGTCGTGGAGCAGGTGTCTTCATGAGGTTGTCCCGTCTGTCGGCGGTGTGTGATTATCATTCATCTCTCAAGCAGTCAGACGCAGAGGAGTCCACACGTCTTCTACCGTCACGATCTGATCAACCAGCTCCAGCACAATCACGCGCTCGTCACGCTGGTGGCTGAGAACCTGTCTGCGTACATGGACAACATGAGGCAGTTCTCCAGAGGTGTGTGTCAGCTAGCAGCAGATGCAGTTTTGCTTCCAGTTTCAGTGTGAATGAAAGCCAACTTTCACTGTAATTCTTCGGCTCAGAGCATACAGGGTTTGATCCTCAGACGGTTCGAGCGGGAAGCGTGCTGCAGCTGGACCCCACGCTGCTCACGGAGAACGGCATGAAGTGCTTCGAGCGCTTCTTCAAAGCTGTGAACTGCAGAGAGGGCAAGCTGGTGGCCAAACGCAGGGCGTACATGATGGACGACCTGGAGCTGATCGGGCTCGACTACCTCTGGAGGGTAACACCTCTGAATTAATTAAAGTGTGTGTGTGCGTCTTTTCAGTTTAGACGAGCTGCCAGTGTCCACGCGAGCGTCATGCACTCGGATCATTTGTGACCCGTGCTGGCAAAATGAGTCGGAATGTGCATGGTCTGATTTTGAGCTACAGGCAAAAAAAGAAAAAAAAAAAGAAGAAAAATGTCGATTTTTGAGGTTTTCACAAAAATTAGTTCATTAAGCCCTCGTCTAGTGATCCCAGTGCTCCAAATAATATTTTTAGATGTTTAGTTACCTTTATTTGTACGTTTGCTTGTTTCTCGCGCTGACGGTCATCCGAAGATCCCAATAAATATACACCGAATTACAGTATTTAAGTATTCACGCAGACATAATCGGTTATGTCTTAAGTGAACGTTTGTGGAAAACATCTGATGTGTAACATTATATTAGATCCGTGCATACAGTAGGTCTTAATATATAGGCCGTCTGTCTCATTAATGTTAATCTGATCTGCTCTTGATTGAACTGCTTTTGTAGTTTTAATAATGAATTTATCTGTAATGAACAGACTAAAGGGATTTTTACATTTGATTATTTGTTTTTCTTACTTGAATGCTTTTGTTTATACGTAAAATGAAAAAGGTAATGCATTATTTGTTCAGCTGTTTTGCTTTTTGCATCTGTTCTTATTTATAATAAAGATAAAATAAAAAATAGCTATATTGTGATATTGTGAAAAAATTGGAGGAAAAGATGCAACGTTGCAGGTGCTTTGAAACCTTCAGAAAACTTTAACTCGGATTTTTCTCAGAATTGACTCTATCGACTTCAAACGTGTGGCTCAGTCATTATTCCTCCGATTCCAACAAATCATGCATCATTCTGAAAGTCTCTTAATGGAGAATGTGAACATAAAAAGAACATTTTTGAAAATGTGCTCATTGTGATTCATTTTGCCAGCACAGGTCACATTTTGATCTCCTAACAGTCATCACCGGCATATTGGCGTATTATCAACGTGTCTAATTGTAATGTTTTCTCATATTTTAATTTAAAACTGTGATTTAAGTACATTCAAATGAATTAATAAAATATCGCCCAGCCCTAAATCCACTAAAGCGGCTGTCTGTCACTACCTGGTTTTCAGTTATTAGCTGGTTTGTAGAGTCTGGTTGTGAATAACTGAATTCACAGTGACACCGTATTCAAGATCATGTTATTCAGTAAATTCATTTGATTTCTTCTCCACAGGTCGTGATTCAAGGCAGTGATGATATCGCCACTCGAGCGATAGACCTGCTGAAGGAAATATACACCAACCTCGGACCAAAGCTACAGGTGAATCAGGTGAGCCGGTGTTCCTCGCCTGACCGCCAGCCGCTAACACACCGCTAAATCACGTCTGATCCGGTGCTGTCGCCATTTACAGGTCGAGATCCATGAGGACTTCATCCAGTCGTGCTTCGACCGGCTCAAGGCCTCGTACGACACGCTGTGTGTGCTGGACGGAGATAAGGACAGCATTAACTGCGCCAGACAGGAGGCCATACGCATGGTGCGCGTTCTGACGGTGCTCAGAGAGTACATCACCGAGTGTGACAGCGACTACCACGAGGAGAGGACCATCCTGCCCATGTCCAGGTGCCTGCTGCAGTTATACCAGACCTTCTGTAGTTCTGCTGGCCGTGGGATCGATTCCCGGGGCACAGCTTTCTGATGCAGTGGAGTCAGCGTGAAGAGTTTGAAGTTGAGACAGAAGTAGAGGCAGATCTTTTCTTCTGTATTGTGATGCATCTGAATGTAACAGATTATCGGTAATGTTGGGTGGGGCTTGGTACTGTGCATCCATTGTTGATTGGATGATGAGATGTGTATGCAGATGAGCGTGAGCTTGCAGGGGCGGGGTTATGAGAACGGAATGATCCACTGGAAGATGGATTTCACTGGAAGATCCAGTTATTATGTTTTAATTAAACAAGGTCAAAACGTTTTTAAAAAATGAAACATGCACTGATGAATTCTTCACCATATGTGACCCTGGACCACAAAACCAGTCATAAGGGTAAATGCATCATCTGAAAGCTGAATAAATAATCCAGACTTGAACACATGCAGTAGGAAGCCAAACAGTGACAAAAGGGTCTGAACTGCTTTCTGGTGTTGTCTGTGTCTGCGCTCCAGGGCGTTCCGTGGGAAGCACATCACTCTGGTGGTGAGGTTTCCCAATCAGGGCCGTCAGGTGGAGGACTTGGACATCTGGTCCCACACCAACGACACCATCGGCTCGGTCCGCCGCTGCATCCTCTCTCGCATCAAAGCCAACAGCACACACACTAAAGTAGAGCTGTTCATCGGAGGAGAGATCGTGGACCCCGCTGAGGACCGCCGGCTGATTGGACAGCTCAACCTCAAAGATAAAACTGTGAGCTTTACAGATGTCTCAGTGTGTATGTTAGGGGTGTAACGCTACACAAACATGACGCTACCTCGGTTTTGACGTCACTGTTCGGTATGGTTTCGGTACAGCAGTGCCAGTAGTAACACTAGTTTACTGCACAAATTGCTTTTTCTTTAAGTAAATTCAATTACAATGATAATTTTAATAACTTCCGCCCGACTCGTCCACCGGCTCGCCCGGGAACCACACAAACCACTACAGCGACGGGCCGAACCCCGAGGTGGAGAGCTGCCTGCCAGGAGTGGTGAGAGCCATGTTTGTGCTTCATATGATAACCTCAGGTCTGAATGAGCCATGCATCTTATAAAATGAATCGTCACGTGAAAGATCATGTTGGTGTTTGAATAGTGTTCGCGATCTTTAACGATCTGTTTAAGTGCTTTGTCATGTTAATGGCGACACCTCTCTTGCATGTTAGCTTAAGGCAAGAGGAAAAGAAAAAATACCATCGAAAGACAGTAAGTTCCCTTCAGACATGCATTCATATAAACTCCTGCCCAATTGAATCGCGATTTGTTTAGCATCTCAACCGATTTGAGTCGTTACATATTCGAATCGATTTTCAACCGGCTCGCGGTTAATCGTTACATCCCTAGTTATTAGTGTTTTATTTGGCATTGATTTTGACAAAATCCTGTGGAATATCAGTTATTTATTGGTTATCAGGTTATTGGTATGGGCCAGAGTTGTAATTTCTGGTCTGACGCACAGAATAGTCTGTCAGCACGTCTTGTTGAGGTGACTGTTTTTCTTCTCTCCTCAGATCATGTCGCTGCATCTGCGCTATATCTCCTTCTTGTGGCAGATCGCTGATCTGGGCTGCACCCTGAGCATGCCGCTACTGCGAGACGGAGCTCGAGTGCTCATGAAGCTCATGCCTCCAGGTCGCAGCAAACATCATGATGACTTGCTGTGTAGCATGCGGTCTGGCTGTGAGGGTCACTGAAATGTGCTGCTTGTGTTCACAGATAACACTACAGTGGAGAACCTGCGAGCGATCTGTTTGGATCACGCTAAGCTGGGAGAGAACAGTCTGAGTCCCACTCTGGATTCACGCTTCTTTGGCCCGTCTGCTTCACAAGTGCTCTACCTCACCGAGGTATCTTCATACTGCTGTAAAAACATCGTTCGTGTGCTCCGTCACGCTTCTGCACCTGCAATTGTAATCGTCGCAGTAGCTGTTGAGCTTGACAGCAAATCAGCTCAGAAATCTTTGGTTTGTGTGGTGTCAGGTGGTGTATGCGCTGCTGATGCCAGCCAGTGGAACGCTGGGAGACGACGCCAGTGACTTCCAGTACAACTTCCTGAAGAGCGGCGGCCTGCCTCTGGTTCTGGGCATGCTCACCAGGAACAACTTCCTTCCCAGTGCGGACATGGAGACGAGACGCGGCGCCTACCTGAACGCCCTGAAGATCAGCAAGCTCCTGCTCACTGCCATCGGGTTCGGACACGTGAAGGCCGTGGCGGAGGCCTGCCAGCCGCTGGTGGAGGGAACCAACCCCGCGTCACCAGTGCGCCACTCTTCTCACGTTAGGACTTGAGACTTGATTGTTTTCCTCACGGTCATGTGACTTTGTGTTTGTCTTCCAGATAAATCAGGCGACCCATGAACAGGCGCTGGTGCTGCAGAACGCTCTCCAGAGCATTCCCAATCCCGCCTCCGAGTGCATGCTGCGCAACGTGTCCCTCCGGCTGGCCCAGCAGATCTCTGACGAGGTTCCTGACCTGCACCGCTTTACAGTCGCAGTGTGAGGCCTACTTCACTCTGATATTCCTAATTGTGTTGCTTTCCGTCATTGTGCAGAACTTCTTCCAGGCCTCAAAGTACATCCCGGATATCTGTGTGATCCGCGCCGTGCAGAAGATCGTCTGGGCTTCCGGTTGTGGGATGGTGCATCTGGTCTTCAGCTCGAACGAAGAGATCAGCCAGATCTACGAGAAGGCATGTTCATGGTTCATCAGCGCTCGCCACCAGTGTTTTTATCCCTCGTTTAAGCGTGCATCTGTCGTTCTGCAGACTAACGCGGATGAGCCGGACGCTGAAGACGAGCAGGTGTGCTGTGAGGCGCTGGAGGTCATGACCTTGTGTTTTGCTCTGCTCCCTACGGCCCTCGACACGCTCAGCAAAGAGAAAGCCTGGCAGACCTTCATCATCGACCTGCTGCTGCACTGCCAGAGCAAGTACGTACTTACAGGAGCAGTGCACTTCTGTTGAGACGCTCTCCACTCAGTTTAGAAATTGAATATAAAACAAACGCCTTTACAGTAAATGTATTTACAGTGGACGCCTAATAGACCAGTGAGCTGCAGAAATGCACCGCTGAAGGTATTTAGTGTAAGTGTATGTGTTTGAGCTATCATCTGAAGCTCTGCTGTATTAGTGATGTACTTCCTGTAGGTGGATTTTGCTCTATATGAACAGTTTCTCAAATCCCTTCCTGGTGCCCTTGTGCCGATACCAAGCACAAATAAGAGTTTACTAGTTTCACATGATCAGTTAATGTTAGGGATGCAGCAGAGAAAGAGAACACAGGCAGAAATTCTTGTCTTAAGATGTTAAGATGCGCTGATAGACACCTGGTTAAAAGTCTAAAGTGATTGAAATTTAGTTAGTACACATTAAAATCCCAAACATCAGAAGTGACGGATCATTGGATTATTTGTGCATTAATGAAGAGCGTTTACCTGCACTTGTGCTGAGGCTGTTTATCGTGACACGTGAGAACAGACACTGTGAAAGTCAGATGAAGTCGTTTAAGAACCTGCCTCTGTTTGTTTGTTTGTTTGTTTGTATGTTTGTTTGTTTTCAGAGCTGTGCGTCAGATGGCACAGGAGCAGTTCTTCCTCATGGCCACCAGGTGCTGTATGGGACACAGACCCCTCCTGTTCTTCATCACCCTCCTCTTCACTGTTCTGGGAGTGAGTACAGCATCACAGCGCTCGCGTTTGAGTGATCTAGACGCCAGTCGAGTGATAACTGTTCGCTGCTCTTTCAGAGTACGGCGAAGGAAAGAGCGAAGCACGCTGGCGATTACTTCACGCTCTTGCGCCACTTACTCAACTACGCCTACAACAGCAACATAAACCTTCCCAATGCCGAGGTGCTGCTGAACAACGAGATCGACTGGCTCAAGAGGATCCGGGTGAGTCCACAGCGCTTCCACTCCATGCACGAGGAACAGGACGGAGCGATGGCTTTAATTCTCTTTCCTCTGGTTTTCATGGACGTTCAGGATGAGGTGAAGAGGAGCGGAGAGACGGGTGTGGAAGAGACCATTCTAGAGGGTCATCTGAGGGTCACCAAAGAGCTGCTGGCCTTTCAGACCCCGGAGAAAAAGTTCTACATCGGCTGTGAGAAAGGAGGCGCTAATCTGATAAAGGTGATCGGTCTATGCTTTGATATATATTTGTACAGATATGTTGTGAAAGTGAAGTGCACTTGATTTGTATCTGTCTGTGTCTCTCACAGGAGCTGACCGATGACTTCATCTTCCCGGCGTCTAACGTGTTTCTGCAGTTCGTGAAGAGCGGCGAGTTCCCGGCGGAGCAGGCTATACCGGTGTGCAGCAGTCCTGCGTCTATAAACGCCGGCTTCGAGCTGCTGGTGGCGCTCTCTGTCGGCTGCGTGCGGAACCTCAAGCAGATCGTCAACACGCTCACAGACATGTACTATCTAGGTACTGACTGCATTTCAGATAAACCAGCTGACGTGAAGGGCTTTGCCTGCGTATTAAACACAGACCTGTGGTTTGATCCTAATGGAACCAGATGGTTTTATATTGCTTGTTTATAGGCCTGTTTGCTTTTAGTGTATCAATGAGCCTCATTAACAAAGCATCTGAAAAACATCCTTTATAAATTGAATCGAATGCAACTTTTATAGAAGTGCATTCTGCTCCTGTTTCATGAACAAGAGGCGTTTTAAACTCCTGCATCTGGTCTCAGGTTGCGAGGCGCTTACAGAGTGGGAGTATCTGCCTCCGGTGGGGCCGCGGCCGAACAAAGGCTTCGTGGGTCTGAAGAACGCAGGAGCCACGTGCTACATGAACTCCGTGATCCAGCAGCTTTACATGATCCCGCCCATCCGCAACGCCATCCTGGCCATCGAAGGCACTGGCAGCGACATCGACGACGACGACACGTCCGGAGACGAAAAGCAGGACAACGAGGTAAAAAGTGCACAGCCGTGTCACTCGAGCGTACTGAAGTCAGTGCGAATGCGTCTGAATGTGCATCGTTGTGCTGCAGAGTAATGTGGACCCCAGGGATGATGTGTTCAGTTATCATCAGCAGTTTGATGACAAGCCCTCTCTCAATAAGGCCGAGGACCGTCAGGAGTACAACATCGGAGTGCTGCGGCATCTGCAGGTCATCTTCGGTCACCTCGCCACGTCCCGTCTGCAGTACTACGTGCCCAGAGGCTTCTGGAAACAGTTCAGGTACAGTCAGCCGTGAATGCATGTGGGGCACTGTGTGTACATCAGCCACAGCGAATCAGATTTTGTGTATAATTCGTGGGGAAGTTTAAATCCTTTTTCATTTCCAAGCTTAATATCCAGAGACCACTGTAAGTGAAAACACTGATGTTTTCGAGAGTTGTTTGAAGCACTTGACATAAGGGCTGGGCGATATGGCAAAAAAAATTTTTTCGATTTTTTTTCTAGTCTACTTGAAAATGTAGCTACAACATTATTCAAGAAACTTTTTTTTTATTTTTATAATCCTCTAGTTAAAGAAATTTCTTTTCCGAATGCAACACACATGATGTAAATGTTAAATCACTTGTTAAATATCTTAGATCTTTGAGTTCAGCTCATGAAAAATGGGGGCAAAAACAAAAGTGTTGCGTTTATAATTTTGTTCAGTGTAAATGTTAAACAAATCACTTGTTAAATATTTTTGCGGAAAAGATGCTTGAACTACAACTACATCTTGTACAAACTTTTCTTATACATATTATATGTTCAGAAATAATACAAGGAAAATGCTTTAAAAAAAACAAATCTCAGAAGTCAAGGTAATTCAAATTCAGAATGACTGAAGGTAAAACAGCAGTAGACTATTATTAACTATAAATGTTCTGTCAAAATAATCAACATCAGCTTTAGTAGTAGTTTAATAGTTCTGTACAGGTTTTTATTGGATTGTGCTGCTTTTCCATTGTTTTTTCTGTGTAAACATGGGCGCGTTTGACTGTTTAATTTAATTTATGTAAATATTAATATTAATTAATAATTATTCATGCATTTAGCAGATGCTTTTATCCAAAGCGACTTACTTTGCGTTCAGGTTGTAACTTGTTATCATGCTTGCAACATGCTAGTAGCATGCTAATCATGCTATAAACATGTTAATGAAATCTATCTAATCTATCTAAATTTTCAAACTTTAGGCTTTTACAACTGCTTTAAACTTTCAGGCTAGGTTTTCTCAAGCCAACCTAAAGTTTGTCTTGACTTTTTTTTATCTAGTTTATTTTTGTCATTCTGTCTGGTGATGCTAGTGGCTCAGAAATGACACAGTGCACTTTTAATCCCTGTGAAGTAAGACGACTGCGTTTGAAACGTTCCCGCAGGTTATGGGGGGAGCCGGTGAATCTGAGAGAGCAGCACGACGCGCTGGAGTTGTTCAATTCCCTGGTGGACAGTCTGGATGAAGCACTGAAAGCCCTCGGCCATCCCAGCATGCTCAGCAGGATCTTGGGCGGCTCGTTTGCAGACCAGAAGATCTGTCAGGGTTGTCCTCACAGGTAAGACAAAGACGTGTCAATCATTCTGAGGATGTTGATTTGTTCCATCTGTATTAGTCTTGCTGTGATAAACAGTGTTAAGCCGCAACACCGGTTACGTCACTTGCTCACCGCAGCACCGTCTTTTTGATTTTTTTTATAGTAATAAAATCATTTAGTTAAGTTAAAGAACAGACACTACAATGAAAAACTGAACGCAGCGTGCCGAGCAACAGTCGCATCACAGATCAGCAGCAGGAGAAGCAGGAGTCAGATTTCATTCATCATGTGAGGAGAGACAGACCAGACCGTTGCGGAAGATTTAGTTACGAAACGAAATGCAAAAGAGCCTGTTTGGTGATATTTTTGATTTTGAAAAGCCTGTTGACTTTTGCAGTTTATTTGCAGAAGTGTTTTTTTTTTGGTAATTTATATATTTTATTTTACTTCTAGGTGTATGCCGTGCCTCCAACTTTCTTATTTGCTTTGCTAATAAACATTCTATGTTTCTTATTTATTTGGTCCCACAGTGTTTGCTGATTTTCAGTTTTTTATTTAAACTTTGTGTAGGTTATTTTATATTAGGCCTATAGCATGGTGTATTTTTATTCGTTCTGTTAATAAAAGTTCTGTTTAATATAAGTGAGTTGGTCGTTGTACTGTTTTGTTGTTGTCCATTCAAGAAATTGACGCTGAATTGCTGCTAACTTAAAAGTGAAAGTAAAATGCGCAAAAGCGAGGAAAACCCCAACAAACCCCAGTGAGACCGGTATTACCGGTGTTGTCACACATTGAATAACTAGTGGGAAAATTTAATCACCGTCACAACCCTAATCCATATACGTGTGTTGTGTGTGTCTTCATAGGTATGAGTGTGAGGAGTCCTTCACAACACTGAATGTAGACATCAGGAACCACCAAAACCTCCTTGACTCTTTAGAACAGTACGTCAAAGGGGATCTTCTCGAAGGAGCCAATGCGTACCACTGTGAGAAGTGCAACAAAAAGGTGAGACGTGTTCCCTAAATCCGGTCTGATTGAAGTTGTGCAGACTGGTGAGCTTTGCTCTGGTTTGCCGTCAGGTGGACACGGTGAAGCGTCTCCTTATAAAGAATCTCCCGCCGGTGTTAGCCATCCAGCTGAAGCGCTTCGATTACGACTGGGAGCGCGAGTGTGCGATTAAGTTCAACGATTACTTTGAGTTCCCTCGTGAGCTGGACATGGAGCCCTACACGGTGGCAGGCGTGGCGAAGCTGGAGGGTGACGAGGTTCCGCCGGAGAGCCAGGTCATCGCTGAGAACTCTGATCCGAACAGCAGCTCCCGCTATCGGCTCGTGGGTGTGCTGGTGCACTCGGGGCAGGCCAGCGGCGGACACTACTACTCTTATATCATGCAGCGGCACTGTAATGGCAGCGACGGACTGAAGGACCGCTGGTATAAGTTTGATGACGGCGACGTGACGGAGTGTAAGATGGACGATGACGAGGAGATGAAGAACCAGTGCTTCGGTGGAGAGTACATGGGTGAGGTGTTCGACCACATGATGAAGCGCATGTCGTACCGGCGGCAGAAGCGCTGGTGGAACGCCTACATTCTGTTCTATGAGCGCATGGACGCAGCAGGGGGCGATGGAGAGCTGCTGAAGTACATCTCCGAGCTGACGCTCACGTCCCGGACGAACCAGCCTAAAATGCCCTTGGCCATCGAGGCCAGCGTTCGCAAACAGAACGTGCAGTTCATGCACAGCCGCATGCAGTACAGCCTCGAGTATTTTCAGTTCGTTAAGAAACTGCTGACCTGCAACAGCGTCTACCTGAACCCTCCTCCAGGTGAGTGGTGTTTTCAAGATGCATTATATCCGTCGCCGGACGGTCCTGCAATCCGTAAACGCCTTCTGCTGGTGTTTTGTTAAGATTCACCTCTTTTCTGGTCTTTCTAGGTCAAGATCATCTTTTACCAGAAGCTGAAGAAATAGCGATGATTAGTATACAGCTTGCAGCTAGATTTCTGTTCAGCACTGGATTCCACACAAAGAAAGTCGTCCGAGGCCCTGCTAGTGACTGGTGAGCGTTTACTGTGTGTCTCTGCTTCTGATGCACTGATGAAAGTGTGGACATATCTACTCATTTTAGAATAATAGTAAAGTAAGGGAATTACTAAATGACTGAAGTGCCACCCTTTGACTTATTCCAGCTCACACTGGTCATTTTCTCAACCAACATTAAACTGGTAGAGCACATTTGTGTTGATTGACTCCTCTCCTCATCATAGACTGGACTTGTTTTTCTTTCAGGTATGATGCCTTGTGTATTCTGTTGCGTCACAGCAAGAACGTCCGCAGCTGGTTTGCACACAGCGTCCTCTTTGCCTTCCCCACGCGCTTCTCGGAGTTCTTGCTGGAGTGTCCGAGTTCGGAGGTGCGCGGAGCTTTTGCCAAGCTCATCGTGTTCATCGCACACTTTTCCCTGCAGGACGGACCCTGCCCTGCTCCGGTCACCTCGCCCGGCTCGTCCACACAGGTGAGGGAGAGAAATAACTGCAGTATAACCTCAAAGATCTGACGGTGTCCCATATTCCTCAACCAGTAATTCGGCTGAACCTCATTGTGCTTGTCATAATTTTAGACTGAAATCATTTAGGGCACTGCTTGCAGGGGAAATGGAGTTACCGGCCTTTTAAAGGTGACCTATTATGCCCCTTTTTACAAGATGTAAAAAGCTGGTGCTCCCGCCTCCCTTTTCAGAAGAGGGCGGAGCTTCAAGAGCTCATGCTCCAGCAAAACAGGACAATCTCACGCAATCTGATTGTACTGTGCAGTAAGTGCGCGTTTATGAATTACACAGACGGGGAGCACGGCACAATAAAAATAACCACATAGCTGGTCTCATGGTGCCTTCCAATTTTTAACTACCACATTCCTATTTACGATCATTCTGGTAGCACGTGAAGGCAGCATCAGTGAAAACAGTTAGAGACAATGGTAGCTTTAGCAACATTAGCCTTACAGAGAGCCAAGAAGCTCTTTTGGAAAACAAAATATGACGTGTGATGCTCACTTTGCTGATGTTTGCGCACGAAGCGTTGGTATCGATCCCTCTTTCAGAAGCAGTCTTTGCACAACTCCAGCGCTGAACTGACCCTCGTTTGTGAGGCAGCCCGGCGTAAAATGATTAGCACAAACATATAGGACTTTTCCGTTTTTTTTCCAGGACATTCCCTTCGAAACTGAAATGTAACCACCGTGTCCAACTCCTGTGTTCGTTGGTGCATCCCAACACACGACACTTGTAATGCCTCTTTGGCGCTGACATTGTATCTCCAGCAGCTACAGCAAGAAAACCGTAATGGCGGACTGCTGCTTCTCACTCAGGGCGGGGCCTATGCTAATAGGGCGGAGAGTGTCACAAATGGGCGGGACTTTCCCAAGTATGACATTATTATAGGGAGAAATCTGGAACTGCTTGTTTGGAGAGACCGTTTATGATTTATTGGGATTATAAAATAATGAGTGGGTGGATTTTTACCATTATAGGCTGGTTGTTTTCACACACTGCGGCCACACAACTGTGTTTAAACACCTTATAAAAGCAGTTTTTGCACAATAGCTCACCTTTAAACCTGAGACAGAACTTGTTTTGCTGTGATTTGTGAGCAGGCCTGTGACAGTGTGACCATGAGTGACCATCTGTTGCGGGCGGTGCTGAACTTACTGAGGAGAGAAGTGTCCGAACACGGACGCCACCTCCAGCAGTACTTCAACCTCTTCGTCATGTACGCCAATCTGGGTAAGCGCTCGTTCGCTCTTGGTTCCCATAAGTCTCGACAGGTTTATGTGGATGTAGAATGTCAGAATGATGCTGTCTGTCTGCTGCAGGTCTGGCAGAAAAGACACAGCTGCTGAAGCTGAGCGTTCCAGCTACGTTCATGCTGGTGGCGCTGGACGAGGGTCCCGGGCCTCCCATTAAGTATCAGTACGCAGAGCTCGGCAAACTCTACACCGTAGTGTCACAGCTGGTGCGCTGCTGCGACGTGACGTCACGCATGCAGTCCTCCATTAACGGTGAGTGTTAACTATGCTGGTGTCCTTTCACGTGTCACACGAAGGCTGTCAGGTTCTCAGCTCTTTCTCGCACACTCTTCTCTGACAGGTAACCCACCTCTGGCCAATCCGTTCGCCGACCCCAGCCTCACGGCTCCCATCATGCCCCTGCAGCAGCTGGTGGCTGAAACCCTGTTTGTGCGCACCAGCTACGTGAAGAAGATCATCGAGGACTGCAGCACTTCTGAGGAGACGGTGAAGCTGCTGCGCTTCTGCTGCTGGGAGAACCCACAGTTCTCCTCCACGGTCCTCAGCGAGCTGCTCTGGCAGGTTAGTCAGTGATGAACGCTCAGTGGAAGCCTGTTTCCTGTAGGCCACTCGTTGTGAATGTCCTGTCGTTCCTTGCGGTGTCAGGTGGCGTATTCCTACACCTATGAGCTGAGGCCTTACCTGGATCTCCTGCTGCAGATCCTCCTGATTGAGGACTCGTGGCAGACGCACCGGTGAGTCGAGATCTGCGTGATGATGAGAGCATCTGAATGTCAAAGAGCAAGTGTCCTCATATCAGTTCTCTCTTTAGGATCCACAATGTTTTGAAGGGCATTCCCGATGACCGAGACGGGCTCTTTGACACCATCCAGCGCTCCAAGAACCATTATCAGAAACGGGCCTATCAGTGCATTAAATGCATGGTGGCCCTCTTCACCAACTGCTCTGTGGCTCATCAGATCCTGCAGGTGAGGCTGACGTGTTGTCATTTACAGTTTACAGTTACTGGTTTAGCACGGGTCTCCAGCTCTGCTCCAACACACCTGCCTGTAATCAAGTAGCCATGAACACCTTGATTAGCTGCTTCAGGAGTGTTTGATTGGGGTTGGAGCTGAAGTCTGCAGGAGCGATCAAGTTTAAGTGTCAAGTTTCAAGTTTAAGGTCAAGAGCAGAAGTGACTGATCCCAGGGAGGCAAGAACAACTCTATAGTCATCTATAAAGGCTATAAGAGTCTTGGCTCTTCGGGTGGAGTTGGAGGATCTTTCTATGTTCGTGGGACAGTGATGGTTCTTAAAAAGAGACAATTAACACTCTTATGCTTTTCTCTCCTGTTGTAAATCATTGTTGGGAAACAAAACACCAAGTAGTGATTGTGTTTTTCATAATGTATCTCAGAGTAATGGGGATCTGAAGAGGAAGTGGACGTGGGCAGTAGAATGGCTGGGTGATGAGCTGGAGAGGAGGCCATACACGGGAAACCCTCAGTACAGCTACAACAACTGGTCTCCTCCGGTTCAGAGCAACGAGACGTCCAACGGATATTTCCTGGAGCGCTCTCACAGCGCCCGCATGACCCTGGCCAAGGCCTGCGAGCTCTGTCCTGAAGAGGTGAGCGGGCAATCAATCGAGTCTGTTCCTTTGCCTAATCAATATAGAATTTTGGGGAGTTGGTCTATTTCTTGAATAATAGGTAATACAATAAGATTTTTAATAAACATTAGGCTAAGATAACATTAATGCAACTGGCTGGCCAGACACTTTTATCCACAGCAACTTGCATTGAAGGTGTACATGTTATCTGTTCATACATTTCGCTCTACTAGATCAACACATGTTTGTTTGTTTGTTTGTTCAGGAGCCAGATGATCAGGAAGCACCTGATGAGCACGACTCGTCGCCGCCGGAGGACACTGCGCTCTATCCTCATTCTCCAGGAACACAGTATCAGCAGGTGACGTCCACACGCTAGTCCTTCATACACGAGTTAGACGGCTGACAACTAACTGTGCTTATATCATTATTATATATACCTGCTGCTCTTTCCTCCTCTTTCACACTCGTTCATTGCTGCAAACCCGATGACTGTTCTGCCAGATTTCAAACCGGTTTGAATGTACATATGTGTGCTTTATGCCAGTTTAATGCCACATCAGTTCAAAGCGTGTTGTAATGTCTGCCACGAGTCTCATGATCTTAACTTATTATTAAATCATTACCAGCCACTCTCATAGATCTCACTCGTGTTGTTCCCTCTCTCTGCAGCCTAATAACCAGCCTCATGGGCAGCCCTACACCGGCCCGGCCGCCCAGCACATGAATAACCCGCAGCAAGCCCCGCAGAGGCCTCAAGAAAGCTGGGAGGGAACGGACGAAGTCCCTCCAGTCCAGACTAAAGAGTAGCAGTCGCCCACACCTTGCCTCGAGACCGCATCTGCTCGTCTCCAGGACCGAGACCAGGCCTTACAAACAGCAGTCTCGTAACGTACTCTATGCCACCCAACTCCTGCAGCACTGACGTCTCTCTTCTCCACACTAGATCTGTCTGTGATGATGAACCTGGAGCGACGTGAGTGTCCACACTGTCTGCAGACGAGCTGCGTGGGTACAGCTCTTGGAGTGATCCGTCACTGTAGCGTGAGCGTTCAGGAATAGTGATGGTGTATATAGTGTGCAAATATCTAGACCTTTGGACCCCCTCCTGTTCCATCATCATCATCATCATCATCATCATCTAAAAATACCACAGCACCCGAATGAAGGGAAACCCGAGGCTTCGTCGTCGCCGGGTGTTGCTCGTGTGTGAGGATGAGTTTGCTGCGTCAGCACCGAGGCACACAAACATTACATGCTCATGACTCTCCGTGTGGTTTCTGGAGCAAATCGGCGTCACTCTACTGATTTAGAAGGCATTGAAATCTTTCAGCGATGCTTATTTGTTTTGCTTTTCTTCATTCATCAGGGCGCCTTCAGGCATGTTAGGAGTGTGCTGTGATCTTCTGTTAGGGTCTTTAACACCACTTTCTCGTCCATCCACTTCAACCTCATTAGCAGCTGGTGGCTGCAGATTTACTCCACAGAGTAAAGTCTCTCTGGCACTCGAGTCCATGTTTCATTTGTATTGTCAGCGGGCTGGAAAGTGTAATAACTCATCTTGTTTTGCCACCATTGAATCGAATTTCAGTTGCCCTAGTTCTGAGTCTGCCTCTTGGCTCCTCCCACTTCCTCCGTCCCTGTCCAATGAAAATGCAGCCACGGCCACACTGCTCTGTATCCGGGGAGATTTGCAGGGAGGTCATCGTGCTCCGGGATTCATCAACTCTACTGGATTTATAAAGTGTGGCTCTTTTGTCTGAATACCAAAATGCCAGCGAAGGAAGTGGGAGCCCACCATATTTTATTTTGCTGTTTTCTTTGATAGAGGTTATTTTGTTGAATTTGAGAAGAAAGCGTTTGAGCGTTTGAATGAAAAGGCCTTGTCCTAGTGTCGTTATTTTTAAGAGGATATTCACTCTGCAGAGTTCTGTGAGCCCTGTTTTTGCCGAGCGTTGTTTACGGCGTGAGGTTGAATTCTGGAGCTGCTTTAGCCATGTGAAGTTTTCACTTGAAGTCTTTCTTTCCCTGCACAGATGTATAATAACAGAAGCACTGCACCACTGGAAACAATAAATTACACATTTAAATGCAAGTTTTACTTTTTATTAGCTTTCCGATGGTTTCTATAAGAAGGTACATTTTGTAAATACCTAATGCACGCAGAAACACGCTAGTTAAATCATTGTGTGCTGATAGATTTTATTCAGCAGACGGTCAGAACGCCACGTGGATCTGCTGAAGGTTATCCTGAAACATCTGCAGACATCCTGACAAAGACTGAACGGCCCTGAACTAGATCTTGACGGTTCGATTGGGTAGTGAGTGGGGATGGAGGGGTTAAACCATCTTAACTAGCACTACAGGTCGACCTTCTCTCAGGCCATCTGTTAAGAATACTTCCTCTGTGACCGAGAGAATCTCACAAGCTCCATTTTTGTAAATGCTCATTAGAGTGACATTTGCCTTCTGCTTTGTTTTTGCTGTTTCAGGAGTGGGGATGGAGGGGTTAAACCATCTTAACTAGCACTACAGGTCGACCTTCTCTCAGGCCATCTGTTAAGAATACTTCCTCTGTGACCGAGAGAATCTCACAAGCTACATTTTTGTAAATGCTCAGAGTGACATTTGCCTTCTGCTTTGTTTTTGCTGTTTCAGGTTTAATTTTGTTTGAATTCTAAAGCTCTTTTAGCGAAACTTGCATGGATAATATTCCTCGGCCTTCGAGCACTGTACAAACCCAGCACACTAAAATTATACTTTAAAGGTAAAAAATAAATGGTATTTGAATTACGTGTCTGTCTGATAAACTGACCTACATCTGCTCAAAACATCTGATTCAGTGCTCATAGTTTAAACACTGTACTCTGAAATTTCAGTTATGAAGCAGCAACTTTAATGCAGCACATCCCTGTTTTTGACCAAAGTAACAGCATCACATTGCAAAGGGTTCATCACTAAGGACGTGTTTTGTGAAATGACTGGACAGCTTGACTTTTTCTTTTGAAGCTGTTATGATCTTCAGACACTCAGGTCTGTTCTGCAGAGACTGATACACATTTCACACACTGGTGTACTGTTTGCATCCTGTAGCTCAAGATTATGATTCAGAAAATATGTATTTGCGCTTGTAGAACAAATGAACTACACTTCCAGGTGATCTGTGAGGAGATGAAATGCAGCAGCATTAAATGACCGACGAATGACCCGGATTCAGCTCAACTAGGCCACATCTGCAGGTGTAAACAGCCCCATGTGTATGGAAGGCCATAACTGCCAAAAACACGTGAATTTTAACACGTCAACAACATGTTAAATACATGTTTGCCGTGAAAAAGCAGCACGTATTCAACACGTATATGAAGTGTTAAATATGTGTTAAAAATCAGTTTGAAGGGTCACTGGCTGCTGAAGACTTGGGTCAAACCATTTCTGTGAGCTTAGAGGGGTGTACCATTCATAGACTAGGCTACCACCATTTAACATGCCATAGATCTGCTTATTCAGCCTTTTTATTTTGTCATTTTTTGTATAGCCTATAGAGATGATATATTTAAATGGCAGTTTTATGAAAAATTTGATAAATAGCCTCGTTTTTCTCCACTCATGCCTTTTTGTAAATAAACACATTGGTGGGCATTCTAGCTTTAACAGTGATCAAACTTAAATTAGCATCAAAGCATTAAGATTTGTTACAACGCGTGAACTACGCTTATTTAACGTGTTGCAATTCACGTGTTTTTGGCTCATATATGCCTTCCATACGTGTGGCGTCGCTGCCATAGACTGTACGGCCGCTCCTCGAAGTCTCGCGTGAAGAGCGTCACGCGGTGATTCTGTCGTCCAATAAAATGACGCGGTTTCCGCTGCGCTCTTATTTCACCCTCAGCTTGAGAAAGACGCGCAGCTCGAGTTCCGAATATCGTCGACGCGGAGTCTAATTCAGACGCACTGAAGATTATTAAAACCCGAACGTTTCCTTTTAAAGCAACGTTTGCGTTTCCGTTTTTCTTTCCTTTGTTCAAAGTGTCAGGTTTCACCGACCGGCGTCGACGGGAATCACAGCGGAGCGCGAGCGACACACCGGCGAACAAAGAAACCCGTTTGCGCGAGAGATCCGCCTTCATCAGCCCACAGTTATGAGTCATGTGGCCGTCGACGGTGTGCACGGTCTAGAACAGCAGGTGAGTTAAGCGGGGTTTCGGCCTGCGGCGCGTTTAAGATGGAGGCGCTGCTGTCGACGAGCGGATGATGGCGGAGCCGCGGCGCGTTTGTTTGTCACACGCGGCTGCGTCTCGCGATGCGTCCGCGGGGTTCGGGAGGTTCGGGTTCTGAACGGTTTTCGCGCAGAGATTTCAGTGTAACGTTACTTCATGAGTGTCTGCATCGAGATCGAGCAGGAAAACTTTCAGCTAGCGGATTTCTGGCCTGTAACTGAGAGTCTTCTGGCCTTTTGTCTGACCAGCTCTTTTTCACTGCGTTTGCTTTGATATTGTTTATTTGCTGGCGTTACTTCTCTTAATAGAAACTGGCTTTATTTATTTTTGTACGTCAGATGATCCCAAACGGACGCGAATATCGCGATGTAACGCACCGATTCTTCCAAGAGTTTTAATTTCCTGTAACGACACGCAGCGAATAATTCTCTAATTTAATTCGCGTGATGAAGTTGTGTGTGAGAACGTTAATTTAGTGACGCATGGCTTTGTTGTGTGTGTCAGTGTTTATAATCGTCTAAACCAGCTTGGGAGGTTTGAGTGATTTCGTAGGTTAAGGTCGATGTTATATCGTTGAACACCGAAGGCTGGAGTAACGCGTCCTCTGTACAAACTGAACGTGCTCCCCGTGTTTCCTCTCACTGACCCCAGATCAGCTCTTAAAAGTGTTTCTGTCCTCATCACATCAGCTGTCTAACCAGATCTCTTCTCTTTCAGCTCGCTGCCCTAGACTTGAGCTCTGCTGATGTTCAAGGAGTCCCTGGAAGTGAGTATCTGTCTCAGATCTTTTTCTGACTTCAGTTTTGCTCTGGATGAAGGAGAGTTGTGTGTGCAATGCTAACAAAGTCTGTCTTCTCCAGGGCGTTACATTCCACCTCATTTAAGGAACAAAGAAGCTTCCAAAAATGGTACTACACTTTTCTTGTCTTGTCTGGCTAACCCTTAAACTCCAGCGCCGGGTTGTAATTGTCTGATTTAAAGCCTCACTGGCTATGTTTACTTGCACAACTTTTGTTTCAGTCGGACTGAATTCATTCTGATTGATGAATCTTTACATAAACGCTGAATAAAGTGATCGGGTTGATGTGCGCGTTTATATGTCAGAAGCTTTGACATGCGCACACTGCACAGATACGTGACCCTGGAGCACGAAACCAGTCATAAGGGTCAATTTTTTGAAATTGAGATGTATACATCATCTGAAAGCTGAATAAATAAGCTTTCCATTGATGTATGGTTTGTTAGGATAGGACAATATTTGGCTGAGATACAACTATTTGAAAATCTGGAATCTGAGGGTGCAAAAAAATCTAAATATTGAGAAAATCATCTTTAAAGTTGCTCAAATTAAGTTCTTAGCAATGCATATTACTAATCACGGTAGGAGATTTACAAAATATCTTCATGGAACATGATCTTTACTTAATATCCTAATGATTTTTGGCATAAAAGAGAAATGTATAATTTTGACCCATACAATGTATTGTTGGCTGTTGCTACAAATATACCCCAGTGACTTAAGACTGGTCACATACACAGTTTCCCGCTGTTTGTGCATAATAACCATTCTCCTACACTGTTCCTTTATTTATTTTAAACCGCAGAATTAGCTAATATTTATCCATTTCTGGTCATAATTTGGCACCGCTGTGCCGTGCTGCTTATATATATCAGGCAGTAAAAACGCCTGTCGTCTGTGGATGAGAATCTGAAACGGACTGATGGGACGTCGTCCTGCTCCACTTCACAGACGCTGAGTGAAGAGAGTTTTATAATGACGGGACACTCATTTATTCAACAGGAAGAACAGCTCGTTACGCACGTCTTTAACACTATATCTGCATCGTTGCACATGCGCAGTCCTTCCAGTTTCGGTTTTCAATCTGATCGAGTGTTTACATGCACTCTCGATCGTACTAGAAAAGGAATAAACCACACCTTTCAATCCGATCTAACTTTCATTCGGATCGATTGAGGCATTTACATGAAGGCTTTTCAGTCCGATTGAGCCGCCAATCTGATTACTAGCGGATTATTTAGTTGCGTGTAAACAGTGTTTGTGGCGCAGCATGTCTGCAGGACGTCTAGTCTATCGTTTGCTTCGGTCTAGGTGCCAGTGCGCTTCTGTCTCGAACACTTTCCACGTGCATGTTGTTGTACTGTTCGGTACTCATCCTGACCCAAAATCGAGTGGTTTTCCACCAGCGTTTTTGGATCATTTTATCCCCCCTCCATCTTTTGTCCATTGACACAAGTGATCGATATGCTGGCATGCAAAAAAACAACTTCCAACAAGCCTTTCTGAACCGTATTGGCCGAGACTCTCAGCAGTATAGGTTTGAGATGCTCGGTGATCTTTAGGCTTATCCTTGTGACGAGGCTGTTTGGCCCAGCACCCTCCTGACTATACGTTTGTTCTTTTAGCAGGAGCTTATTCCTCTGGTTGACAGAGCGGTTACTCGGTGGCACCAGGAAGGAGCTGTAAGTTTCTATTGACAGCCTTTGGCTAAAGAGAGACTTTGAGGGGAAATCCTCAAATATGCATGATTCCACGATTAATTCTCAGCACACACTTGGAATCGTAACCGCTTATTTCAGCCACATTTCTTTCCAATGCAAGATTGCAAATGTCGTCCACGGGCTTTGAAGAGCACTTTTGTTTAAAGACCCAACTCAGATGAGGGGGGAGATATTTAGAGTGGATGCTCCCATGTCTGCATTTACTTGAATTTTCAGCATTTTGCAAGCAATTTATTTTTAGAACTTATGTGCATCTTGGCATTTCATCTAGCATTTTTTAAATTTATTTTTTTATGCAATATTCCAAAATGCATGTAAAAATAGCTGGATGGAAACATAGCTAGTGTGCAGTCTGTGA